ATACTACTGCATGTTTCTTCAAATTGAGCTTATGAGGACGACACCACTGTTAAATTCTGATTATTGTTTATCAGATATTTCATTGTGTTAAACTCTGAACACATCATCGTCATCATCGTCATCATCATCATCATCATCATCATACACACCTCCCCTGTTCTTATCCTCTGTGTCGTCCTGTCTTCAGACGTAAACAGTAACAATAAAGTTGGGTTGAAGTTGAACCGGTGACTCACCGAGCGCGTCGTGCAGGTATTTCTGTCCCACCAGCTTCAGATACTCCTCGATGGCCTTGGTGGCCAACGTGTTCTCCCTGAAGATCAGGACGTCGTGGTCGGCACATCGATCCACCTCCGACATCACTAGGTCCGTCAGGAAGTCCTGAGGAAGAGGAGGAGACGACTCATCACGTGCATGACCTGAAACACTGCATGTTATACTGAGATTCTTTTTTTAAATTCTTATTCTTATTTAATATTATTTAATATTTTCAACATCTAACTTCAGTTCACACTGTTACTGATTCTCATTCAAACTGAAATATTCAGTTCACATTTGATGAGATCGACAGAATGTGCGTCTGATTTATTTTTCATGAAGTGTTAAAATAACTCATATTGATTCTACGATTATTTTGAAACTTGTTTCTTTCTGTTTTCAGTCTTTGTGCTAAGCTAAGCTAAGCTAGCCAAGCTTTCCTGTCGTCTCAGATTTTGGCGGGTAACATTTCCTGACCTTCGCCCTCCCGGTGCTCTGCAGGATGTGGACCAGAGCGCAGGCCATCTCCTCCTTGTTCTTGACGCTGATGACGGGCTCCAGCACCGAGCACAGCATGGTGTAGTTGTTGGTGATGAACTCAGCGAACTCCTTGTACTGCTCCATGGGCAGGATGGAGATGGTCTGGAAGCGGGACTTTATGCGGATCGATGGCCCCCCTCCCTTGGCCTTGCTGGTGGTGGGCGTGCTGACCGGGTACCACTTCTCCACAAACTGCCGACCCGTCACGCCCGACACCGGGATGTTGACCAGGCCCACGTAGTTGTTCTTGTCCTTCTTCTTCTTCTTGTCCACGTCGCGGTAGATGTGTACGGTGACGCTGTGTACAGCTGGCAGGCTGGAGAAGTCGAAGTGCTCGCCCCAGAACAGGCTGTCGTGACGGGTCTTGCTGGTGGTGCGGGCATAGAGGACGTCGTCCAGACACAGCTCACAGAAATATTTCTTCTTGGGTGGCAGGTCTTTGGCTTCGATGATCCACAGTCGCAGCAGGTTCTCCGCCCGTCGACAGTTGTCCTGGAATCACAAGCAGAGGTTGTGGGGGTGTGTTTTTAACTATGAGGATGAAAATTAGTTCAACTTTTACCATGATATGAAAAGAAATGACCAAAAGAAACGCCGTGTTATTAACGGAAACATTTCTCCTACAACATCTGTGTGTTTCAGGTTGTAGAGTTTTTACCGTATTTAAAGAATGAAACTGAATCACCAGCCCTCGCTTGTATTTCTCCACCAACCAGTGCAGTTTCAGATGTTACTGACATTTCATCACAATAACATCACTGTGACCTTTGACCACTGGAATCTAATCAGGTCATCTGTGAGACCAAGTGAGAGTTTGAACCAAATATGAAGGAATAAGCTCGAGGTGTTTTTGAGATATCATGTTGATAATAATGGGACGTATGGATGGACAACCTGAAAACATGTCTCCGGCCACTGGGTGTCACCAGAGCGGAGGCAGAGGATAAACGAATGAATCTGAGGAACTTATAATGTCCCACCCGTCTGTCTCACCTTGTTGGGCTGAATCGTCCTCCGCAGGTTTTCCATCCACTTGTCTCTCTCTGAGGCCGAAGTGCAGCTGAAGCATTTACTGCCGCCTGAATACGTCACCTGAGAGGGTGAGGGGGGGGGAGAGAGAGAGAGAGAGAGGGAGAGAGAGAGCATGAAATGACCTACGTTAAACTAATGACGACAGATAGTATGTAGAAAAGTTTAATTTTTCTTTAGAGCAGATTTCAACGACCTCTGACCTCTACAGTCATCAACAAAGTATTTTTCTCTTCTCACTATTTTACATTCACTGATTTATTAGATCACATATAGGTTTCTGGGCTCTGATTGGCTGAGCTGATTACTACTTAGTGTTTGTCACCTCGAAGCAGAACTCCTGTCCCAGAATGCTGCAGTGCAGAGGTTTGATGAACACGTCCTCCTCCATGCTCAAGTCGAGAGCCTCCACCGCGCTGCCTGGGCTCAGCAAAGACTCATGGGAAGTCGACTCCTTCAGCTTGGGGAGCCCACGAGACCTGGACGACAGGAAGGGAAAAGAAAACATACGTCAATGAAAAGCAAGTTTATGGAGGAGGAAGGTAGGAAATAAACCGAAGTGTTCTGGTGCCTTGACAACGCCACGAGATTCACCGAACTTCCTGGGAGAGTTTGAGCTCGTCACCACAGACGCCTGCTGTCGACAGTGAAGCAGGAGAAGAGTAATACCTACGAAAAACATCCACAGAGCCAGACAAGGGGCGTTCCCCAGAGCATCCCTCCTCCGCCACCTGCTCGACTCCCCCCTGCTCCCACCGTCCTCCCACCTTGACCCTTCGGTAGATGGCAGCTTCACTGAGAACACCACTGAGCAGTGTATCGCCTTTATCAAGCCTCCCTGTAGTCCAGCAGGCGGTAAACAAGGGGCTGGGACAGCCAATCGCATCAGACCTGTGGGGGCGTTTCTGTGGTAACAACCTCTGCAGGGAGCTTAGGTGCTAGGCAGCAGTCAGTGATGCATCGAGGAGCAAGGCAGGTGTTTAACTACAGACCAGTCTCAGGGGATGTATGGAGGTCAACTGAACAACTACAGCTTCATGAAGAGAAGAAGATGAAAGTATGACACTTTCAAAATAACTGTCAATATAACTTCACTAAGGTTTCAGAATAAAAGCTCTGTTTTCGAAGGAAGGGAGGTAAGAAAGAAGGAAGGAAGAAAGGACTGAACGAGGGAAGGAGAAGGAAGGAGGTAAGGAAGGAGGCATAGAGGGAAGGATAGTTGTAATAGTTCTTTTACTCTGAATCATTTTAGTCCACAGGAGACAGATCATGTGACACTGAAGCTTTTCAGGAGATCACTCTTTAATTCAGAGTGTGTGTGTGTGTGTGTGTGTG